CTCCTTTTCCAGTGAGTTTTAAAGTGGCAATTCAGTTCCACAGGACATGAGTGCCGTGGTTTAATTGGGTTAATAGATTTTCTGGTGATGTCTTCCTTAGGTAAGGCTTGAGATGCATGGCACAAGGGACATGTTGGATTCCTTGGGAACCCAGTGCTGTCCCCACCTTTACTTTAGACCTTAAGTGATGTGTGCAGTGAGCATGGTGCGTCTTTATTCCGAACGTGTAGTTAATTACAATCAACTCTCGATTATTCAAGGGCTGAAATGCAGTTTCTGAAGGGCCCACTTCTCTGGTAATGCTGTCCACAAGCCCCCAACTCCCACGTTGCCCTTTATAGGTGGTCCATGAAAACAAAACATCAAATCAAACAAATCCTCAGCTCACACTATGAAAGAACACGGTGACCCAATGAAACCAGCCTCGGCTCTGGGGTTGCTGTGAATTCCATGGTCCCCTCTGCCTTTTCCTCCCTTTTCCTCTTCTTGCTACTTGATAGTATCAGGCGAGAGTTGATTGTAACCAACTACTTCAGACTATTGGTTTCAGTAGAGAATTGAAACAAAAGAAAGTCTTTCATTCAGACCTCTGTCTCTGTGGCCGCCCATGATGCCTTAAGCTGTTCTTATCTGGATGCGCTCCACGAATCCCTGCTGCAACAGCCTCCACCTTCCTCTGAAACCACCACTGTGTTCGTTCACCTCTGTGTGGCTTTGTGTGTGGTGAAGGTTATCGAGGAAGGCTGGCAGGCCCACAGCCTGCATCAGCCACACACTGACTTGTATGCGACTCTCATGTTCTTGGCCAGGAATAGACAGCGTTCTGAAACCTCAGCCTACTGGAGTTTGTTGAAGGCAGTTGCAAATACTGTCTCTTTGAGTGTTTTAATCATGGCTAAGTTTCTACATAAGTATATGAAGAGGAAATTGCAGTGTTCAGAGGAATTTTAAAATTACAGTATGCTATTTAGCAATGAGGGAAGTAGTGATTGGGGTGTGTGTATTCAACAAGAGGTCCTTCAAGTTCAAGTAGAGAGTGATGCAGAGAGGGCAGCCTGGAGTACTCAGTGCACAAGGGAGAAATATGTGGTTTGGGGGAAACGGGTGCATAGGTGCCCACACTCGCAGCTGAGTTACCAGAAAACCCACTGACGACTCCCAGGAGCAGAAAACATCAATATTTCATTTCCACGTGTCTTCTTTCTGTTTGAGCAGTTACTCTTTCATTTTCAATCTTGACCTAAGAAGACAAGGGTCCTTTACACTGATGGTAGATTCAGAAGCACGAAGAGGTGGGATTCTTTATTCAGTCAAGAGGAAATTCTGATGCTCAATGAGGGACTCTATCAGGCAAGCAGATTTTGCGATTTTGCAAAGTGGTGAGCCTGACATTGGTAGCAGAGGTGGAGCTAGAACATTGGTTTTCTGAGTCCCCTGGTGAGGTGCATTTTACTGTCCCATGTAATGCTGCAAAGCAGGGACCACCAGCTGCAGGGACCTCCAGCCACAGGGACCGCCAGCCACAGGGACTGCCAGCCGCAGGGACTGCCGCCAGCTGCAGGTGGCGTTGTCAACAGTGACATCCCAGCTTGAGTGTAACATGGCCGCAACACAGACCCAACAGAAGTGCTTTGGGATTGTAACATGTAAAATAAAAGGGTCTCACCCTCCAACTGTGCATCCAACAGACAGTTTCCTAGTGCCTGGCTGCGTCAGCAGTTCAGGTCTGGAGCCTCACTCTTCTGAGAATAGTTTAACATATATCTAGTAATGTGAGTTACCCAAGATTACAGACTATTTTTTATAGACATTTCCCCCTAGCTCCTCTTAAGCCCCATCTAAAAAAAATTTTACTTATTGTTTTTTTTTTCTGTATCTGAGTGTTTGGAAGGTCGGATGAGGTCCAGAGACCTGTCCTGCAAACAGCAGGGGTCAGCCCACAAACCCAAGGGCAGCCTTCCTGTGCTTGGTTAGTGAACTTGAGGCTTCTCGGACACACGTGGATCTCAAGATACAGTTTGTGTCAACACAACTCCTTAACATTATCCGCTTAGGGTCACGTGACACTGAAAATATGAACGTGTGTTTTGGTTAAGGTACATGGAGATGTTCTGAGTTCCAACATTTTCTCATTTACATATCAAACTAATCTTTAATTGTTCTAATATGTAATTGATCTGAAACACCCAAAGGGAAGGTTTTGATTCTGCTTCAGAGTGGGAAAGCCCCACAGCTGGGAAAGTAGATGCCACATAACCATCTGCTAAAGAAATTGAGGGCTGGAGCGGTGGCTCAGTAGTTAAGAACACTGACTGCTCTTCCAGAGGCCCTGAGTTCAATTCCCAGCAAATACATGGTGGCTCACAACCATCTATAGTGGGATCTGATGCCCTCTTCTGGCAAAAATTCATACATAAAAAAAATTCATACATACAGATAAAACATTCATCTATATGTATATAAAATAAATAAATCTTAGAAAACAAACAAACAGGAGCTTAATTCTCTCCCGTTACTAAAATCACTGTTTTTGCCATTAAGAAAAGGTAATTTTAACTCCCTGAAATTGAATTAGATACACAGTTGTGTGCAGGTAAAGCAGACATTGCTGTTATCACGCAGGCGAATGTAAGCACTGGCTGAGATATTTAGTACTTTCCCCTGGAGCCCAGATAATTCTTATTTTAATGGAAACATGGGCTCCTACGGCTCTGGTTTGGGATGTCTCAAGTAAGAAGGAACCAAACACTCCTAGTCGGACAAAGCCTCAATTTTTACAGGCCATGCCCTGCCTCGTAGTTCCTGAACCCAGAGATCAGATGCTCCATAATTCTGAGATTTGGGATAAGTGGTTAACCAGACTTGCTTTGGATGCGGAGGAAGCACAGCCTTTGGGTGGGGAGGGAGCACGGAGCGATGTGTTCTCGGCTGCCTTGATGAGATTCTGATGCTCCAGTAGCAGAGCGTCCTGGTAGCCACCTTCACTGTGTCTGCTGCAAGGTCCTTTGGGAAAGAAGATAGCCTAATTCTGACCTTTGCAGATCCCAGCTGACATGAGACTAGTGAGGGGTGGGGTTGGGCAGTCACCAGAGGATGTGATCGCATGGTCATGTGTTTGAACACGCTTCTCGGGGAGAGAAGTCAAGTCACAGTGTGTAGAATGACAGGACCAGGAGGCAGGTGACTGGGGAGCACTGCTGGGGCGTTTCCAGCTCACAGAGCATCACAATTTGTTTCTGATTCCCAGATCGTTGTAGGAGATAAAGTCGTTCTGATGCCCGTAAACGCTGGGCAGCCCCTGCACGCCAGCAACGTGGAGCTCCTGGACAATCCCGGCTGCAAAGAGGCAAGTCCAGGCGGGGAAGGAGTGGGCGCTGATTTTCTCCAGAGGGAGGGGGGAAGAGAGAAGGAGAGAAAGAAAAAGAGGGAGGAAGGGAGGGAGAGAAGAAGAGAAAAAGGGAGAGGAGGAGGGGGGGAGATGATGTCATTTCTTGATTCTCTCAAGCACCCCCCCCCCCTGTTAGCATCCTCAGGCTTCTGCTGGTCCTAGCTGTCTTGAAAGGGTCCTGTGAAGAAGTTGTTTATTGAGGCCCATTCTTCATTGTCCATTGTTGTCTTTTTTCTTCCTGTCCTGCTTGAGACGGTAATGTTTGGGTACAGAATATAGAGTCTACTGTCTTATGTCTTTTACCATTTGTTTCCGTCAATAGGTGAATGCTGTCAATTGTAACACTAGCTGGAAAATCACTTTATTCATGAAATTCAGCTCCTATCGAGAGGATGTATTGAAAGGGGTGAGTCAGCCCTCTGCTCTGCACCAGACCCCAGCAATCTCAAATGTGTCCATAGTCAGTAGAGGAATGTGACTGGCCCTACAGTTTAGAATGCCCAGGCCAGAAAGGAACTGCTGGGACTCCTGATTGCTGGTCCCAGCGGTTGTTAGAAGGTCAGGAATTGCTGGGTCCCCTGGTTTTCTGGTCCTGGTGGCTTTTGGAAGGTCAGTGTGTCTTTGCTTGTCTCTCCAGGGTGATGTTGTGAGATTGTTTCACGCCGAACAAGAGAAGTTTCTGACCTGTGATGACTATGAGAAAAAACAGCACATTTTTCTTCGAACAACCTTACGTCAATCAGCAACTTCAGCTACTAGCTCTAAAGCACTCTGGGAAATAGAGGTATGCACTTTTATGGGGGGAGGGGCTTTTACTAAATATTGAGACAAAAAGGTAAAGATTGTTAGGCCATTGGCTTTGCTGTTGCGGGCAACATTGACAGCATGCCCTTATCATGGAATGATTTTGTGAATTGACACACAGCTCTTTGTGGCTGTGACCAATCGAAAGGAATACATCACAATGCAACCTATTATAAAGCAGAACAAATAAATCAAGGGGTTAAAAAGAGAAATATCCCATTGTGTATTCATCAGAGCCGATCAGACCGGAAGCCCTGCGCCTCAGTGCCTCTGCCTGAGCCATGGCTAGAAGAGACAGAGACAGAACTTACAGCCACAGAGAATAGTGCTGATTTTCCCCTTTGGATGCCATTGGAATCAAGATAGTTAAGAATGCTATTCACCAGGCTGAGGCAGGAGGACAGTCACAGGTTTGAAATCAGCCAGCTCTCCTAAGCGAGCTGGAGGTACCGTTATGTAACTCCTGGAAGGGGCTTCATGCAGCCCGTGGGTGCCTGGTGTGGAGTGGGTGTTTTCCCTAGACCTTCCCGATCCTGTAGGCTGATAGTGACATATATCAGACAGAGCCACACTTGATTGTCCAAGCTGGCCTGGAACTCACCCTGTGGCACAAAGTGGCCCTGAACGTTTTGGCAATCCTTGTACCTCATCATCCCAAGTACTGGGATTTTATTTGTGAGCCACTCCCCTGACAGAAAACATGGCAAAAGCAGGAAGGCAGTGTTTACAGGTGTGAGGCCCTGGCACCCTCAGGTGAGGTAGGACACGCCTCTTGCTCTCCGCTGGAGAGTTTTGTTATTCTCCCTCATTGTGCCCTCATGATACACATTCGATGCTTTGGCATGCTCCATGTTCGATGCGTTGGCGCGCTCCGTGGGGCATTCTGGCTGTTGGCAGTTGCTGGCTGGCGTGTGGATACCGTTTTGTCACCGAAACTCTCCTCTGTAGGTGGTTCACCACGATCCGTGCCGGGGTGGTGCAGGACAGTGGAACAGCCTGTTCAGATTTAAACATCTTGCAACCGGGAACTACTTAGCCGCAGAGGTAAGATCACTGGGCACAGTGTTGTTAGGTCTCTGGAAAAATGAACCAGGCAAGCCCTTTCTGCAAAACTCATTGCGTTGTCAGGGACAATGTCTATAATTTGATGGTTGCCTGTAATATCTGGATTGGCACTTTGTTGTTTTTCCTGTGGTTATGATAAAATACCTTGACCAAAACCTCAGTTGAGAAACAAGTTATTTTCGGCTCATGGCTAAAAGATGCAGTCCATCATGATGAAGGCAGGGCAGCAGAACTTGAACTGGCCAATCAGAGTGGATGTAGCCAAGGACCAAGCTCAGGGAATGGTGCCGCCCACAGTGGCCAAGACTTTTTACCTCAGCCTTCTCAGGATAATCTGCCTTGGGCATTCCCAGAGACCCTTTTCTCAGCTGACTCTCCATCTCATTAAGATGACTGTTGTGATTAGCCATCACAGGCTGTGAATTGCTATATTTTTGCATATGTAATGTGTGTTGTTTGTATGTATTCATATGTGTGTGTGTAGGATGAACATGCATCCAGGGACTTGTGCATGGAGACCGTCCGTCAGCCTCATGTCCTTTGGCTCAGGAGTCCATCCACCATAGATTTGGGGACAGGGTCTCTCCCTCAATACATGGGTGGGTTAATTGCAAGCTGTCAGACAGGAAGCTGTAGCATGATTAATAAAAACCCAGAGACAGAAATTAGGGTTCAACCTGAATGTCAGAAAAGCAAGACAGACAGTCACTGGCTCTTACCTCTACGTCAGTCCGAAATGGCGATCCTGCCTCCAGGAATCTCAGAATGAGGCTGTGTCTGAGAGCTGTCTCCTCCTGCCCTATATTCCTCTCTAGAGCAGGGATTAAAGGCGCGCACCACTACCGCTTGGTTTCTATGGCAAACTCATGTGGCTACTGGGATTAAAGGTGTGTGTCACCACTGCCTGGTCTGTAAGGCTGACCAGGGTAGCTGTTTTACTCTCTAGTCTTCAGGCAAGCCTTATTTATTAAAATACAAATGAACTATCACTATAGGAAACAGTTCATTTCCTGTAAAGAATGAAGACTGTCTTTCTATTCTGTTTCTAGAAAACACAACTTTTAATGCAGCTACTGTCTTGTCTGGAGTATCCACAGGACCTTTTCTGTGACCTTTAATTCTTTGAGTAACATTTTACTCAATGGCAAAGTAAGAGAAGGAGAATTAAGCGCTAAATGTGTATCATGAAGTGGACTAGGAGTCATCTTTTATCGCCTGCACTGGCATGTCAGAAAGGATGCGTCCGTGGAGAATCCTAACACAGAAGGCATATGCTGGCCTTTGAGATTTCCTGCGTCAGTTGTGTTGGAGGTCCTGATAGGCTCAGATGCCAGAATGCTAGTCTTCGCAGGATGAAAGTTATCTAGAGCTGTGACCAAGTCCATTATTGTCATCGTTACTTGGTTAAAAAAATTTCCTTCCAGAAAACAGGTGACAATCAGCTTCCGAGAATCGCTGAAAACCCACAGTAACCCTCTCACTACTTCCCTTTGCTTGTTTGTTTAGTTACATGACTGCTGGTGCTGGTGTGTGTCCGTCCATATCAGAGGCAAACTTGTAGGAGGTCATACAGACAGGTACAGGTCACAGGTCATACAGACAGGGACAGAACACAGATCATACAGACATGGACGGGACGCAGGTCATACAGACAGGGACGGGACACACATCATACAGACAGGGACGGGTCACAGGTTATACAGACATGGATGGGACGCAGGTCATACAGACAGGGACGGGACACAGGTCATACAGACAGGAATGGAGATCATAGGCAGGGACAAAACACAGGTCATACAGACAGGAATGGGACACAGATCCTATGCAGTCAGTATGAAAACCGTAACTTGGCCCAGGCAGGAGTTTGGCAAGGGACCACTGAGTGGCACTTCCCTTTGTTTTAAGATTTTGAACTAAGAATTTGACTTGATGTCACTAGGCATATGATTCAAGTTTAAGGCAATGTTTTCCCAGATTCCTGGAGGCCCAGGCTGAAGTGTGGTTTGACACCTATGGCAGAAACCAAGTGATATCACTCAGAAAGTCTAGCCCCTGCCCTCCAGAGTTCCTAGGCAGGGTGAGGCTGCTTCGAAGGGAGCACAGGCTAGACCAGGCAGTGGGAGGGGTCAAGAGGGTCCAGGAAGAGGTGTCTGGTGGAGGAGAGAGATGGGTGGGAAAAGAGTGGAAGAGGTGAATTCAGCTTCCTGCCAGAAGGAAGTGCAGGGGGGTCCTGTGGCTGGTCCACGGCACATTTGTGTTTGGAAAGTTCTGGAAGGGTGAAGGGGAATTATAGGAGCAGAGACGTAGCTCAGGGCTTGTCTGTGAGCTGAAGGATGATGGACAGTATCTTTTTTTTTTTGCTTCATAAATAATACCATTCAAAATTTCCACCTCCTCCCCTCCTCCCATTTCCCTCCCATTTCCTCCCTCCCCCTCCAGTCCTCAGAGAGGGCAGGGTACCTTGCCTTGTGGGAAGTCCAAGGCCCTCCCCTCTCCATCCAGGCCTAGGAAGGTGTGCATCCCAACAGACTAGGATCCCAAAAAGCCAGTACATGCAGTAGAATCAAATCCCAGTGCCATTATCATTGCCCCCATTGTCAGCCATATTCAGAGTCCCATTTGATCACATGCTCATTCAGTCCCAGTCCAGCTGGATTTGGTGAGCTCCCCTTAGATCAGTCACACTGTCTCAGTGGGTGGACCAACCCCTCGCGGTCCTGACGTCCTTGCTCATCTTCTCCCTCCTCTGCTCTTCAACTGTGGACATTATCTTTGAAGCTAAGGAATGGTGTAGAATTTACATTTCATTTGTATTTCAGAGTTGAACTGTTCGGTGTAGTAGCTACGAGCCATTTGTTGGCCACTAATGGAAGTGAGTGTTAAGATGAAATAGTATTTAAAGTGATTTTCCTGGTCATGCTGGCCCCGTTTCTGTTTGCCCATTAAGCCTCCCACATGGAGTATCACAGATGGGGTTGCTGCTGTCGCCAACAGAAAGTGCCGGTGGGCAGGGGTGATGGTAGCTAGCTGCCTTGGAGCCCGTGGAAGAGATGGGGTCAGAGGCAGGGGGTGATGGAGGAGATGGAGGGTGGGTACCACTCAGCAATCCCGGAGGCTAGAACCAAGGGCATGGTCTTGGAATGGCAAGGAGATGTTTGGAGATGTTTCCAGAAGGCAGACATTAATAGAAGTCCATTGAGCAGTACAGGCAGAAGGATTTCCGCTTTGGAGGTTTGTTGAGGACGCTGGCCCTCCAGAGAAACTGTAGAGGCGCCACGTCAATGAAGAAGGTAATTCAGTTAATGAACTGATTCGCTTAGGCACTCTGCAAAGGCAGCGCATACTCTAAGTGCCAAGGCATCTCTTCAGCCCCCACCTAGTTTACTGCGGTTAATCCAAGGTGCTCACCACATATCCAAGAAACAGTGTTAATAGCTGCAGGTTTCTTGGCATTTGGAAGTTTGGGCATCAAGGGGGCTGACAGTAGATTTTGATCTCATCGGTTCCTCTCCAGAGATGTAACAGGACGGCTTGTTTAACCCAGACTCCCAGAAGCCTGAGAAGCTAGGGGCCAACTGAATGACAAATGCCGGGAAGTCAGGGCAGTGTTTCCCCAGGGTTGGGGGGAGCGGTGTGTCGGGGGGACCACTGCACAGGTCAAGGTGTCTCTATGAGTGGCTTCATGCAGAGCTGTCCAGGGGAGCCCACCTGAAGGGAGTGCAGGCTGAGTCCTCGCAGCATGCCCTACACTGGGGAGAAGCTGAATTGATGAGAGGAACAACCAGAAGTCCAGCTGATGCTCTCTACAAATGCATTTGAAAACCATGCTGGGGACTGTCCTCTTTTTCCATGGAAGGGAAGTAACCAGCAGGCCACCTGGACATTCAGGCTCTTACTCTCTTTTCCACCCTTGGGAGACGTATTTATAATTTGAAACATGGATGTGTTTTAGACATTCCTGGTCAAAAGAGATTACATAATCCTTGAGCTGCTTTTGAGTTTATAGGTATTTACAGTGCTAACTGGGAAAAGGAAGCCTATAATAGTACAAAGAAAAGAACTGTCATGCCTATGGTCCCCTGTGTGCCAGGCTTCAAGCAGACATCTAGCCTCTCTCTGGACCCGAGGTCCCTCCTGTGAGATCAAGGCAATTGTCTGTGTCCTAAGGGGTTGTGCTGGAGTTAAGGAAGACAGGAATGTAAGCACTGTGTTCACAGAAAGTCTAAGAGATTCCAGGTACCTACCCTCTTGTAGAGGAAAGAGAGAGGGCGGAAGGCAGACTTCTGTCCCCATGAGCATCAATGTCCTTGTAACCAACTGTCGGCTCTGTCATAGTGTATAGTTGTTTATGTGTTTGTTCATCCCTCTGTGCACTGTGTACATATGTACATGTGTTTGTTTGTCCATCTCTCTGTGTATTGTGTACATGTGTATGTGTGTTTGTCCATCCCTCTGTGCACTGTGTACATGTGTACATGTGTTTGTTCATCCCTCTGTGCATTGTGGATATGCCTGTCAGTGACTTTTGTTATTCATAAGGCAGGGCCCTACCCTGGCCTCCACAGTGTGGACATAAAACCCTGGCTGAAATGTAGAACTAACTATTTAGTTACAAATTAGATAATAAAGACATTTGGACTTGATGTGGTCACACAGATATGTCACTAGGTTCTCGCTCAGTAGCCACTTCCTTGGGGTGTACACGATTTAGGTGGTCAAAGTGAGGGTAATGGATTCGGACAGCACAGCTGGGAACTCGCTGATGCTGTGCCTTAGATCTCTTATGCCTGTTACAACAGGGGTCCTCTTGGAATAGGCTAACACGGACTTTAGAACCGTCCGCCATCACGTGGGAAGGGCACGCTCCAGCAGGGGCTCACTTTGTCTGGACTGGAGCTCATGTTCCAGAGGCTGGCTTCAAGCTCCTGATATTCCCACCTCCAACCCCCAAGGGCACGCTGCCATACCTGGCTTTGATATTACCCTCTAGAGACCAGCTCACTTGGGGCTGGGGAAAGGGCTCCGCGGGTAAGAAAACCATAAGGTCCCGAGTTTGACCTCTCAAACCTGCCTAAAAAGAGCCAGGCCTGGTGGCTTGTGCCTGTAATCCCAGCATCCGGTAGATGGAGACAGGTTTCCTGGGGCGCTCTGGCCGGCCAGCCTAGACAACTAGGGGGGCTCTAAGTTGGTGAAATACACTACAAAAAAAGAAAGAAAGAAGAAAGGAAGGAAGGAAGGAAGGAAGGAAGAGCAGTGTCTGAAGCACCATGCATATGCACGTGCCCACAGAGTATTTGTGTGTAGATGGCCCAAGCTTCCACCAGATGGCACTAAACACTTACTACCTAACTTCAATGCTCTATGGTTAGTTACAAACTTACCACTGCAGAGGCTGTAAAGAGGACAGGGGTCCCACACCTGTGTCCCAGCATTCCCAGTGGGGGACTCAGGAGGATTAGATGCTCAGGACCCCCTCACCCCAACAGTTGTATACTGAGCGTGAGACCTGCACGAGCTGCAGGAGACGTTTTCTCAAAGAAACAAACACCAACCAAAACACCAAAACCAAAGCTACAATTAGCTGAAGAAAAAGAAAAACCACCAAAGAAATGGCTCCGTGGGGAGATGACTCAGCAGATTGAGGCCCTGGCTTCCAAACTGTGGATGCAGTCCCTGGACCCTTGGACCTGCTGCTCTTGAAGTTTTGGTGGGTCTCAGCACCCATGTCTCCAAAGGATCTGGTGCCCTCTTCTGGTCTCCACGAGAACTGTACTTACCTGCACAAACCAGTGGGCGTGTCTATCCCCGCTTCCCAACACATGGAAAAAAAGAAAACAAGAATATAAACATGTCTCTGTGATCTCAGGCCCTTTTCTCGCTGTAGTGTGGATGGAAGGCTGGAATTGTAACTCTTTCGACTCTCGTTGCCAACACGGAATGGTCTGACTTCTCCACTGTTTGTCTTCGGCAGCTGATGAAGACTGTGCCTTTCTATATTGCCGTCATCGGTGTTCTTCTCCTTCCGCCATTCCCATGGTTCTGGGGACCATGAATTCGACTTTGGATATCTAGCTGCCTTAGGGATGTAGTAAATATTTTTAAAGTTTGGGTTATTTCACCATTAAGCAGTGAATTTTTTTCCCCTAGTGCCAGGGTTAAAACTTGAGAATCAAGCATATTTTTCTGTCGTAGCTTCTATACTTAGATGCTGCTGAATATAAAAAATATGATTGATTTTATATCATTTATTTAAAAGTCCTACTTGTCTTGAGTGATCTTCCCTTTAACTTAAAATCCTCTTGGTTTAGGCCCTAGATCTAGGGGGATCTATAAAGGCCTATTTGGTGTAGAATCTTTCTGTTTTGTTCCACACCCTCTGTTTCCTGGAGGCAGAAAGGCAAGAAGCAGAAGTCACGCAGGGTGCGCTTTCCATGCCCCAAGCTCACGGTCTCCCACCGTCTCACTGTGACACCGTGCGACTGTATGGCAGGACTGCGTGACGGTCCTCACGCAGTGGGCCAGTGCTCCACTGTGAAGCAGGATGGGAGAGTATTTCTCAGAAGCAGAATTATGAAGTCAAATGCATGAACTCTCAAAAACATCTGTAAAAGTGTCACATAAGAGACTCTGCAAAAAGGTCCCCGTTTTATCTCTGTGTGGTGTTCTTTCTCCCTCATCTGCCAGTTAAAATCAACCCACCCTTCAAGGATGACCTCTGACACCATGACTCCTACCCCCTCCTCTGACCTATATTATTTACAAACCATTCATATCTGCCTCCTAGCTCTGTGATGTCACATCCGGCTTCCTAGTATAGCTCACTATATTTATGTCTTATTTTCCTTCCTAGGTCACAGGGTCAGTGATGAGGCACAGGACTCTTGGCTAAAACACGACTCACCACAAGTTCTGGCTCTTAGAGATGCTCTATTAGTGTTCATTACAAGAGTTCTCTCTCTCCCTTGTGACAGAGTTATAATTTAGTTTTTTAACATACTGCAGCATTTTCCTTTAAAGTCTTAAAATTGCCAGGAACTTCCTTAGGGCATCTTTCCCCCCCTTCTTTAGCAATATTCTTTTTTCTATACATCCTTCGCCGATGACTTTGGTGACTATGTCTGTTGGGAAGGGACAAAGCCGTAGAATTTGAGGGGTGCAGATTTTATCGCTGACAGGAAGGGGAGGAATGCATGCGGCTGTGAGTTTATTTGGATGTTTCCCCTTCTCTGTGGTGACCATACTAGCAAAAGCAACTTGAGGGAAGGGTGGTTCACTGTGGCTCACAGTTGCAGGGTGTGGCACGTCCTGGTGGGAGCTCATGGTGGCTGGAGTTGGGGGTGACTGCCCTGAGTGAAGAACATGGCCTGCATCTCCACGGGCACAGAGTGTTTTGCATTGGGTTAGTTGAGCGATTCCTGTTTCTGTGCAGATCCGGATTATAGCCATGTCATGGTTTTGAGCTTGGCTTTACTTTCTGTTACATGAAACTAAGTATTCTAATTCACACAGAGTGATACAGTTTGGTAGCTTCATCGAGGTGGCTCGTCTGTTGTTGGGTAAGACAAAAGCACTTTAAGGAAGGTTGATTTTGGCTTGCCCTTCCAGGCTGCGTTCCGTCATGGCCATGGCTGGAGCTCGTGAGACTGGCCGTGTGGCGTCCCAATCAGAACAGAGTGACGAATGCTGTGCTCAGCTTTCTGTCTGTTTCAGGCAGTCTGGGATCAAATGGTGTCTCTTACTGTTACAGACTCTTCTCACCTCAGTTAACACAATCAAGATAATCCTCACAGGTTTGCTAGAAGGCCGGCAAGTCCAGATTCTGCCAAAGTGAGGATCAATAGTGAGCTCCATAGCAATGTGTGTGTGCGCACATGTGTGTGTGCACATGTGTGTGCACGTGAGCATGCAGGTACACATGGGGCTTGAACACAGGTCATCAGTCTTGAGGCAAGCACCTCTATCTTGAGCCATCCTGCTGGCCCAGGCTCATTCCCACTGTCACTTTTTAGTTAAAACTAGTTTTGCTTTGTTTTTCAGCTTAATCCTGACTATCGAGATGCTCAAAATGAGGGCAAGACTGTGGTAAGTAGAAGTTCTTCTCAGTGTGTTCCAAATGTTTCGTGTTCTATTTTATATGAGTAAATCAAAGCTTTAGCAACAGACTTGAAGACTGGGGGCCCCAGGACAGAACCTCTTAATTGAAGGGAAGGTTCCAGAAAGAGAAAGAAGAGGGTTCAGGGGATTCCCCCCTGCTAGGGACACTTCCACCTCTTGAAGACTGGTCATTGCGAGGCACTGAGGCTTCTCTAGTGGGTCTAGGTTCAGTTTCCAGAAGTACACAAAAGTAGAATCAGGCAAGTTGTTACGGTGTGACAGAAGATTCTCCTTCTTGGATTTAAAATGATTTGGCGTCTATTTGAGGGGAGCAATTAAAACTGCAATCCGGATGCCATGGGTGATGTTTCTGATATTTTGAAGTGCCCTGCGGGTGTGCCACGCTCTTTATTTATTTATTTATTTATTTGTTTGTTTGTTTGTTTGTTTGTTCATTTGTTCATTCGTTCTTTCGTCTGTCTATTTTGAGACAGATTTGTCTTCGTAGCCCTGGCTGTCCAGGAACTGGCTTTGTAGAGATCATAGAGATTACAGAGATCCACCTGCCTCTGCCTCCCGAGTGCTGGCTCAAAGGTGTGCGCCACCGCTGCTGGACAAGAGCCCCACTCCTCACATAAATTCTCACAAAAGTGTTTCACGTGGCCCACGTTGTTTGTAGCAGGGAGTGTGGGGGACACAGGGAGTGTGGGGGACACGGGGAGTGTGAGGGACACGGGGAGTGTGGGGGACACGGGGAGTGTGGGGGACACGGGGAGTGTGGGGGACACGTGGAGTGTAGGGCGAGTTTTGTTCATCCCAAAGTTTGGAGACTCAGGGAAGCTGGCATAGACACACCTCTGGGTTAAAGGCACTCCTGAGGGATGGGTCCAGCTAGCAGAGTCGGGTGCTGGAAGGGAGCAGGGACCACTCACACGTGCAATGGTTATCACAGGGAGCAGGGACCGCTCACACGTGCAGGTGTTATCACAGGGAGCAGGGACCGCTCACACGTGCAATGGTTATCACAGGGAGCAGGGACCGCTCACACGTGCAGGTGTTATCACAGGGAGCAGGGACCGCTCACACGTGCAGGTGTTATCACAGGGAGCAGGGACCGCTCACACGTGCAAGGGTTATCACAGGGAGCAGGGACCGCTCACACGTGCAGGTGTTATCACAGGGAGCAGGGACCGCTCACACGTGCAGGTGCTATTACATCGTCCTTTTGGTGCACAGTGTTGGTCAGCCGGGAGGAAGACATGTTGTTGGCGCTGTCACCAGGGGTCTGTTAAGAGGCCTGATTTGGTTGTCAGCGAGGCCGCTTTGCATCTGCCATTGTGTGCAGTTATAACTGTAATTAGTCAAATAAATGAAAACAGACACACATGCAAAAAGTTAAAAAAAAAAAACCCCAGCAAACAGGTCCACATTCCCCCATCTGTCTGTCTGTGAAGCGTCTGTTTAGAATGTTAGCTCATCCTTTGGGCTGTTTGTTCTCTTGCTGTTGATGTGAACCAAGAAGAATCGAGTCTGGGCATTCACTCCCCGTCAGGTGTCATGCATATCTCTGTGGTCCTCCCTACATCTCTCCCCTCTTCTGAGGCCTCCTCCCTCTCTTCCTCACCCTCTGCCTTATGATCTGATGTAATACCATGTGTCTGCGCTTTGTCCCCTGTGCTATCTGAAGAATCCTCACACGGACGGTATCGTGTTGCATGGTTTTTCCCACCAGGAAAATGAAAATCAAAACCACATTGCAACATCTTCTCCTTCCAGCTAGAATGACCATTGTCAAGAAGGCAATATGACAGATGCTGGCGAGGCTGCGGAGAAAGAGGCCTCGTACACAGCTGGTGGGGTGGATAGTCGTTATGGATACAGCGTGGCAATTCCTCAAAAAATTAAGTTCATAACTACAGTCCGAGCCAGCAGTCCCACTATTGGGTAACAGCCCTATGCAGACAAAGCTGTGGCATTGGTACTCGGCTTTCGCGCCCGCATTTGCTGCAGCATTCCCCCACCAGCAGAGACGGGGAACGAGCCCGTGTCCATCCACAGCAGAGTGGGCTGCAAGAGTCACCACTGGTTGGGCGTGGAGCCCAGGGCCTGTCCGTGACAGACAGATATTCTACCGGCTGAGCTCCACCGCAGCCCCAAGGGTCTGATTTGATGGTGGCAGTTTTGTGTGGCTCCCCAGCTTCGTGGCTTGTTTTCGTATGGCTTAGTAGACTCAGCAAGGACTTCTGGATTCAACTCAGTCCCTTTGGACCCCTCTTTTTATTTCATTATCAGCGCTAAAGTAGGAGTGGAGCTGAGGGTCAGGCTGCTGGCTCAGCAAGAGCGGACCTTGTGTTAAACATCTCAAATACAGAGGTAGCCTACTTGATTGGTTAGGCCTGTTTATATTTGTTTTGAGTGAGGCTGGAGTTTTGGTGCTGGCTAGAGGGGGAGTTCCCCTGCTGCTTTCTGTGTCCTAGGATGATTATGTCATGTTGTGGGCAGCTTCTTCAGCAGGCCCGCTTGCGGTCATTCTGGAGATGCCCGCTTCCCTTGCTGTGTAATTGACTGGCGTGTGATCTCCGCACGTGTGACCTTCGCATGTGTGACCTCCGCACGTGTGACCTCCACATGTGTGACCTCCACATGTGCATTGCACCACCTGCTCTCCTCTACACCTAATAATGAAATGTAATAACAAATTATAAAGACGGTTGGAGGTACGGCTCATTGGTACATGTGAGGCCCTAGGTCCCCGAGTTCTGGGGAAAGCTGCTTTTCCCAGGAGGGGCACCACCAAACCTTGCTGCCATGTGGCTGAATTCCTGCTTTGCCCTGCTTCCTGCTGTGTGGGCAGAGCAGAGTGAGTGAACGCAGACATGCTACTTTACAGAGTGGACGGGAACTAGGAGTCTGTGCTAAGCAGCCGACCCACTGTGAAGTTCACCTGGTATTAATCCAGCCTTGTTTGACTGGGGTTCCTTCCTCCTCCTCATCCCTTAGCTCCACTACAGTTGAGAGGAAACACTCCTGCGTGTGAGAGCCAGTCCCCTGCCTCAGTGAGTCACAAGCAGGGCAGGGCAGGTGGTCTGCACTCTGTAGACGATTGGGACTGGACTTTGCCAGTCACCTCTGAGAGACAGCCAGCAGCAGAGGGGACTTAGTAATCCTCTCGCCAGAGCCCCAAGCTCGCGTGTAGTGCGCACAGTGTGGCTCCTCGTTTCGTAGTCTGTCTGTCACATTGCAGTAATCATGCTTCTGTCTGAAGAGGAAGGGAGGGGGCTGTTACAGTTGACACACGAGGTCACTTTCCCAAAACAGCACGCAGCTTCTCTCACAACCGTGCTCCAGGAACACTCTCTGTGACGGAGCAGTTCCCTTCATTTCCCTGTGTTGACAAATTAATGACCGGCTAATTTTTTTTTTTTACTGTAATTCAGAGACCTTTATCAAAACGTGGCCTTCCATTTTTGAAGTTTCAGGGGTTAATGCATGGTGTCGCCGAGATGAGGTGGTGTGTGTCAGGGCTCCCATTAAGACCAAATTGCCATGTTCATTTTACAAAGGGGTCCACGATTTCCAGTCTTACAAATGTACAGCTTCCCTGAGCTCCCGATAAACATTGTCACCGTGCCAAGCCCAGCTGGGAACCGCGAAGTCACTATTTCTTCTTGAAGGTCCTCGTCTTTTCCCCTCGACAGCGGGGATTCTTATTTGATTCTCTGTAATGTCGTTCATGATAAGAAACATTGCCGTGTTTATGTGGCATAGGATCTGATTATTTTGAAGGAGATTCTGTTGCTGAGACTGGGAAGAAGTTTCTTGGCATCTGTAGTAGTGGGTACACAGGACCAGATAATTCTTTATGGTTGCCACTGGAGGTCCTCTGAGTGAGTGGGGTGTCATCTGTGTGGGTGGTAGTGGGTGTTCCCTGCATGTCCTGCACCCTCTGGATAGGATGGTGATGGTTATCGTCGCTGTTCTCATCTTACTGGGTGCCAGCTGCAGCCCCACCTACTCTAGTTCTCAGCTGTGGCAACCAAAAATGTGTCCAGGAATTGCCAGATGTCCTCTAATTGTCAAAATCCTCCCGCGTGGCCAGCCACAGACCGAGTGTCTTTATGTACACAGGGATGCTCTAGAGACTGGAGTCTGTTGAAGCAGTACTTTCAAATTCTGTTTTGTAGAGTTTGGAGATGGGGTCCAAGTGCTGGCAGAGCTTCATGTTGCTTTGCATTTTACTCCTAGCTCCTGGGCAGTAAGGGGTGCAGGCCAAGAAAGCAGAAAGGGTCCCAGCAGGGGGCTCTGGGGAGGAGGCTTACAGAGATAAAGTGCCTGCCACTTTCTAGGCAGCCTGGAGTGTGCGGCTTTCCCAAGACAGAGCTGGAGGGTGGGTGGGGTGCTGGTGACACAGCAGCCTCCTCCTGCAGCGGGAACCTCAGCTCCAAATGGCGGACACAGCTTCTCCTAGTGTGTCTCAGGCCCCAACCGTACAGGCGATGTGATGTTTGACACAAAGGTGTTCTGGGGTGTCCCCAGGTGCACCTCCACAGGAGCGGGGGCAGGACCAGGGCAGAGCCATCACTTCTTTGTGGCTTTGTATAAGGGCATCTGTCTCCCTGTGTAGCCCTGGAGGTCTGGGTTATCCAGGCCGTGAAGACGGCTTAGTTGAGCGCTTGCTTTGCTCAACTAGTTGAGGACCTGAGTTAACTCTAGCATCCATGTAGAAGTAGCTGGCTATGGTGGGAGGCAGAGACAGGCAGGCTCCCAGGGATTGCAGACCAGCCAGCCTGGCCTACTTGTCAGGATCCAAGTCCCCATGAGAGACTTCATCCAATAACTGAGGTCCAAGGTTGACCTCTGGTACCCACACACCCACACCCATGCACTCAGGAGTGCAGGCACACACACACAGTACACAGGGGTGCATGCACACCTGCACCCGCACATGTGGACATGCACATGCACTGCAGTGTGCACACTCCCACAGACACACAAACTTATCTGGAACGTGCCTATTTGATGAGCACTCAGCAGACAGGTGGCATTCTGAGACCCCAGCTCCTAAGCTGGACCCGTGTCAGAGAGCACTTGCTGGTATGGAACGAGGCACCTGTTTAAGCTCCGTTGGCTCTGAATACATGTTTATGATGGAAGGCAAATGGCGATGTTTCCAAGATTCTTTGAAGAGAGCTCCAGTGTGTGTCTGTTTTTCCTCACAAATTGGTATGTGTTTATAAACAAGCCCCACAGCTCACGAGCTTGAACAGAATTGTCTTCACGTTGTAAAGATGCCGGATTGCCTTTCTTGCTTATTGAAGCTACATTCATTTTTACATATGTAACTAGGGTTTTTGGTGACTCTGGCAGTCCTGACGGGCCAGGCTTGACATCCTGATGTGCCAGTTACAGAGAGGACCGAGAGTGAGGAGCACAGAGAGGAGACAGTTTTTGGGTGGCCACAGTGGAAAGAGGGACAGATGAGGGACCAGTGAGCTCATCTGTCTTCAGGGTCCTGGCACAAGCTCTTGGTCTAACCAGAGTAAGTGTGGGGCATAACTGTGAGCCCCGGTCAAGGCTCTGTCTGGTCACCACACTCTTCAGGCCCCACGGCCATCTGAAGCAGTTACTGCTGCCACCATTGCTTGACTGGATCAATGAGTTCCCGCGGAGTGAGCATGCCTGCCCAGGGTGCAGCCCTGCCCCCTCTGGTGACCACCCTCATTGTGGGCCTGTGCACCCTTTGAGACTTCTCTTCCTGGAATCCAAGGTGACTGCAGGTTCAGGACAATGACGTCTGGAGGGCATTGAGATAGAGGAGGATGACGGATACTTGGATACTGGTTGAGTGTCCAGTGCCTCTGTGCAGGATAAGTCAGGCTCCTGAGCCTAAGGGAAACCGGGAAGGGGGGCAGAGAAGCCAGGCTTCCAACCTGCCTTTCGCCAGCCCGTGTGGCGTCTGCTTAGAAAAGCAGCTCCCAGGTGCCTGGTGTGCTCATAACTCATTATTTATATTTAATTGCTTAAAAATTCCAAGGGGCAGGCTTAATGTTTACTTCCAAACTGTTGACGAGCAGAGTTTGTTAAGTAAATTAGAGTGTGGGAGAGCCAGAGCAGGAAGCTCCCGGCAGCCAGGCTCTTGTAAAAGACATGTAGGCATGTCGGACGTACCCCCCACACAGTTGTGAAATTATTTATTACAGGAATTTGCTGTGTATTAAAGCCATTTTCCAAGGGCCAGTGGGGAGGATGGAAGATACAGTAGCACAGTCCATGTGTCCTGTGTAGCTACAGATCTAAAATATTGTGAATAATTTGCAGTGGCTTGTTTTAATTAACCCTAATCAGTGAGATTTTGAAAAATGTATTTTGAAAAGAGTCATTGCAGGGCAAGCGTCAAAATACAGGGAGGCTCCTGGCCGCTCTGATCGGGCACCATGGGCAGACGTTACCAGGGAGAGCGGTCTAGGAGGCTGTCTCTAGGAATCTAGGTCTGGAATCTTCTTGTAAGTCTACAAAAATCATCTCAAAAGAGGGGTGGACAGAGGGCTGAACCCCACTAACTGTACGTATGGAGAACTGTACGTATGTGGACAGACTTCAAATACTGACAACTTCTAGTTACTAACTAGATCTAAATAGCTGTACCGTTAACACATTTCACCCAGAGAATGTGTCTCCAAAGCTAAATTATAAAGGGAAGTGGAGGGAAAGCTCTGTCAGGAAGTTAGATGACACACTTCTTTTAGGGAGATGGTATTGTTCCAAGAACACTGGCAACATCTTTTTGTCCTCTACACCAGACACGTTTGGAATCATGCACACTGACCTGTTGAGGATAAGGACTGGTCTCCATCAATAAAGCCCATCTCCCAAACATGGTTCAGTTCAACTGCTAAGAACTTGCTTCCCTGAGCTCAGCTGGGTTTTAATTCTAACCCCCTATCTGTGGGAACCATGTAAGCCCCGCTGTAGTTCGGCTGTGGGGCCTGTGTTCCATGGGTTGGAAATTTGATGCTCAGTGGGGTTGGGTTCCCTGGGAGGAAGTGGGCATGAGGCCCCCGTGACAGAGAGACCTCACTCAGATTCCTGGGCTAGTGAGTGGGTTCGTGTAGCCTGTGGCAAAACCAAGCCTGCTAGGACTCGGTTGCTCTGGCTCAGGGTGTGGTGTTCTTATGTCATGGTATGGCACCAAGGCCCTTGACAGCTGATGTCTCTATGTGCTTACACACCCTGCTTCCAGAATCAAGACCTTAGAAAGGACCTGGCCTGTTGCAGCAGCAGCAGCAGCAGCAGCAGGTGGAGTGGGGTATGCTTGGATCTCACTGCTTGGGCATCCATGACATGTCCTCTGACTCATTTAGGAGCTGACTCTTCTTGCTGATCAGCTGTGTCCTCACGTTCTCGGTCACCTCCATCACAGTGCTCATGATATCTGTGGTTCTTTTGGCAGCAATAGCATTGTGGGGTCCCCAAAGCTCCTTAGCAGCTGTTGTCATTGCAAATGAAACACACATCCTGTTTTCCTATTCTTTCTTCCAGAGTCCTGGCTCCCTCTTCTTGCACCCCCTCTGACCTGTTCTCCCTCTGCCGCCTTCTTCACCATCTTTAACAGCAGAGCTCAGCACAGGAACTCCAGCTGGGAGCAGTTGCTCATGGTCTTAATCCCAGCATTTGGCAGGCTGAAGCAGGAGGATTGCTGTGAGTCTGAGGCCAGCCTGGGCTACTTAGAAGAAGGAAGGAAGGAGAAAGGGAAGAAAATATTTGAAGTCATACATAGTGCCCTGTCACACATAGTGTCCCACCATACACAGTATCCCGTCATACACAGTATCCCGTCATACACGGTATCCCGTCACACATAGTATCTTGAAATACATAGTATCCCACCATACATAGTATCCCATCATACATAGTATCCCATCATACATAGTATCCCATCATACATAGTATCCCATCATACATAGTATCCCATCATACATAGTATCCCACCATACATAGTATCCCATCACACATAGTATCCCATCATACATAGTGTTCCATCACATATAGTAATCCCGCCACACATAGTATCCCACCACACATGGTATCCCGCCATACATAGTATCCCATTGGTCCAGTACAAGAGGGTCACATGCCCCCAGCCCCTTCCTGCCCAGCCTTCCTGCCCCTGTCACTGGCAGTCAGGGCTGTGGTTTCCCATTTTTGAGCCTCCAGAGAAAGCCGCTGCTCTGTCACTCACAACTTTACATAATCCCTGAAAGTCCTCATGGACCAATGAAATTACATCCTTCAACTCCCTTCACCCCTTTCTCCTTTCTTTCCTTCCTTCCTTTCTGTTGTCTGTCTGTCTTTGTTTGCATGGATGACTTTCTGAGGAGCTCTGCAGCCAGCCTGGAGCGCAGGTCTCTCTGTGAGGTAGGGTTGTGGTTTTCGTGCTTGAATGTGATCTGCATCGCTCTCGTGTCCTCATGCTCGCAGGAGGAATCCCTGGACCACACGTTTTCATGATGATGATACCAACTTAATCCCACCCACAGGGTACAAGGGTTCCCTGTCTCTGCTCCTTTGACCATTTATCCCTTGACTTTGACCATGCTGTCCCGAGCAGGGTGCTGTCTGCAGTGGCTTTGATTTACATTTCCCCTGTAACTAGAGGGGGTGAGCATCTTCTCCTAGGTCCTTCTCTATCAGTTATTTGTCTGTCTTCCTGAGCCCTTGGAATTTAGAGGGTCTAGGTCACTGTTTCTTCTCTGCGTTTGACGTAATTGTAGAGGGTCAAATCACTATGTTGTAAATAGTATAAAATCACTAGAGAAGGGGCCATAACTATTGTGATTTAAGGACATGCTCAGCTCAGGCCACTGCCCAGGGAGCGTGGGTCTTATGATTGCCCATAATCATCACAAAGGCTGTGCACCCTGATTCTCTGGGGAATTCAGAGTAGACATTCCTACAACAAACTCTCACCTTATCTCCTGATTAACTGCAATAGTTGCTGCTAAATCTGAAGACGCTGAATAACCTTGAACCTCTTCAACAGAGAGACGGAGAGCTTCCCACTTCAAAGAAAAAGCGCCAGGCAGGGGAGAAGATCATGTACACTTTGGTCTCCGTTCCGCACGGAAATGACATCGCGTCCCTTTTTGAACTCGATGCCACAACTCTTCAGAGAGCTGACTGCCTGGTTCCAAGGTAAACAGAAATATAAAAAGAAATCAATAAGTCAAAAGAAGTAGGATGAACAGATGTTCCTTTGAATAGTTTTCCCAACAGGTAGAAATTAAAAGTATAATAGTAATATAATTTTTACAATAGAAGAGAGCATGAGTGAAGAAAATGCACACAAAGCAGTGTGCCTCTCTCAGGTGAACAGATTAATATAGTTTGTTTTATTTGTATAAATAATTAAAGTGTGCAGTACCAAAGAAGTCCTGAAAAATTTATTCTAATTAATCATGTGGCCTTTGGTCACAACAATGAAACATAATCTAATAATTTTTAGTCTAAAAATTTAAAATTTTTAGTCTAAATTTTATCCCTTGCCTGTCAGATTTCCTGCTTAGCTCATTCCCTTGTTCATTTTGTTAGTGGTTCAGCTAAGAAGTGTTTCTTGATTGTCAGTTGCAAGGCAGACCACGCCCTGGGCATCAAGATGAGAAATGAGGTCAGACCAATAAACATGTGAGCTCAGGTGGCTCTCGAACTTGGGGGTCACAGCCAGTGCCCCAAGTCAGGTCAGGCCACCTGTGCTCATTAAACCAATTAAGAGAGACAAATTAAAAATAGAAAACTAAAAGAGAAGGTTTATTTGATGTAGCCAAATGAGAAAGATCTGAGAACCCCACCCCAATGTGAGTCCACCTCTCCCTCCTCCTTGCTCACTAATACAGCCTGTGAAGACATGCACTCTGCTGCTTTGGCCTGAGCCAAGCATCTTTCTTCTTGTATGGTGTCTTAGTTAGGGTTTCTACCACTGTGAAGAGACACTATGACCATGGCAATGCTCATGAAGGAAAACGTTTCATTGACTCTGGCTTACAGTTTCAGAGATTTAGTCCATTACCATCATGGGTAGCGTGCAGGCAGACATGGTGCTGGAGAAGGAGCTGAGAGTCCTACATCCACAGGAAACAGGAAGTGAACCGTGTGCCACACTGGGCATAGTTTGAGCATATACCACCTCAGAGCTCACCCCCACATTGACTCACTTCCTTCAACAAGGCCACACCTGCTCCAATAAGCCACATCTCCTAATAGTGCCACTCCCAGTGGGGTCCATTTTATTTCAAACCACAATATATGGGGACCTTAACTATTACTCTGACTTAACTCATTTTAGATCTAAGTCAGCAAAAAATGGGTGTCTTTCTTAAATTCAGTGTAGGAGAACTTGCTTAAAGAGATGGTGAGCAGAACTCACCATCAGGTGCATAGACCCACCCACAAGGCTACCAAGTCTTGCTTTGCACAGAGGTGTTAGCTTCTGCTGTTCAGTAGGGTTGGCCTTCTTTTCCCTGGTGTGAAGTATTTGTGCTATTGTGATTTAGCTGTTGTTCACTGTTTGTAGCTAACAATAAACTTTCAACACCAGCCACTCTTACATTGCACGTGGAATCCTTGAATATTTCTGTGTGCCGAGCCCCATGTCAAGTTTTTCAGAACTGCTATTTGCATTTAGTCTGGGTAACTCTCAGAGGTCAGAGGTCAGAGACTGAGTTACAACAGGTCTTCTCAAACTGGCTGAGGAAGATCTGAGCAATGGTTCCTGGTCCTTCTCTGAGCAATGAAGTCAGTCTCGCAGTGAGATGTAAACATTACATCTTTAAAAAGCACTGCCCAAGGGATTCCAATATGGAGTGCAGTATTTCTTAAACTTTAAACTCTTACTGTATGACCTTTCCCTAGAGGGATATAAATCAATGTTTCCAGACATGGGGGTGGGGGTGGGCACTGAAACAGACCGAAGGAAAAATTCCACTCCAGTCCAGCGAGTTAACCAGTGGGTCTGTTCGTTTACTTACAGGAGCTTAGTGAGGGATTTCTTACAGGAATATGGGTGACCCCCCAAATATGGGTCACTGTAAAGCTTGACTCTAGAACAGATGACAGTGTCCCCAGCTGTACAGATGTCAACTTCCTCTTCAGTTAACTTTTACCTGCCATGGGCTCTAGAACTTCATAAGATTATATATAGCTGGAAAATGCAGGAAGAAGTGGCCTTCTCGGCTGAGGGTCTGATTGCCCTCCCCACCTCCCCATGAAGGAGCATCAGCAGGTCCAATCCTGCGGGGACAGTCCCACACCTATTCTGATTAAGATGGTAACGGCCCTTCTGCTCAGAGGATAGAGTTCCACAGTGGTGCGTTAGCCTGGTAAAATCCTGAAGCAGCCATGGTCATCTGATAGACACAGTCCGAGAGTCCTTGGTCTGCAGGGGGTTCTGCATGGGTGCTTTTCTAGAAAACCCTAGACTGGACTTTCTAGAGTAAGGGCCTGAGTGCAGCTCCCAATCCTTCCTTCCCAAGGGACACTTAGCAACTGTGACCAGTCCTGATGCCTCCCTCCCACTCTAGACCCTGGTGTGACTGGTATGTGTTGCAACCTAGACTTTGGGTTTCGAAGTGCTTCCCAGGTGACAGACAATGGAGTTTGGGGGCAGTGACTTAGAAGGACAAGGTAATTGGCCTGTCTGTGCTCATGAAGTGGAGTATGACCCTGGAGCATGGAATGTAAGTCTGCCCTGAACATTCCACAGAGTGGCCCTTATACCGTGGACAGCCAGACCCTGTCACACCCGACTGCCAGAACATATCTGCGACATAGTTCCAGAGTCATTTAGTTCCGAAATCCTTGAGATCCTGTGGTTACTCTGGGTCATCTTGTCCCTCTGCAGCCCAGTAGTGTTGGCTGACTCCAGAGGTGCATGCAGGCTGACAGCATCCATGATCTGAAAATCTCATCTGAAATGACCTAAGAGGCGACAGCTTTTGAGAACCAATATGATGCCACAGGTGGAAAACCCTACACCCGACTTTACGTGATGGGTTGTAGTAAACATGCAGGTGTACTTAAAATATTGTGTAAAATCATCTTTGGCCTAGATGGCTAAGGCACACGTGAAACACAAATGAATGTCATGTCTAGACTTGGGTCTCATCCCAGGATAGCTAACTAAACACTTCCCCTGAAATGCTTTAAAAACAAACAAAAAAACAAACCCTGAAACCTCAACTGCTCTGGTTCCAAGCTGCCTTTGTTGCTTTTTTATTATTGTGAAGAATGGACACCACGACCAGCCAAGGCAATTTATAGAAGAAAGCATTAAGTTTGGGGATCCATGGTTCGAGAGGGTTAGAGTTCATGGCCATCATGCTGGGAACATGACAGCAGGCAGACATGGTGCAGTGACAGGAGCTGAGAGGTCCATGCTGAACAACGACCACTCGACAGAGAGAGAGGAAAGGAGAGAGAACCAGCTCCAACGGGGCAAGGCTTTTGGAACCTCAGAGCTGATCCCGTGATGCACCTCCTCCAGCAAGGCCGCCAGCTGGGAACCAAGCATCCAAACATAGAGGCCCATGGAAGCCATCTGTCATTTCAGCCACCACGCAAGCATTTTGAAGAAGGAAAACTCACCAGTGTTGAAAAAACATAAGGGTGAAATAGAGGAGCTGTCCATCATGTCGACTGCTGTAGCCACGTTTTCCAGAGCTGAGGGCAGCAGGGATGCCAGCAGCTGTAGAGACATCTTCTTCATAAATGCAGAGGATGCTGGGAGCTAAAGCAGAGGCGTTTCTGGTTACTTGGACCAGGGTTAGGCGCTTGTCGATCTAGTTATTGAAATCCCCGAGTATTCATCTACCTTTAGGAATGAGCAAGAACCCAATGATGCCTTTCCCTGAGGTGTTTGGTGTCCTGTCTTCTGTTTGGCCCTAAAATGTTAACTGAGGGTGGGTGACGTATTTACACCTTAGCTTTCAGCTGAACCCTGACCAACGACCTTTTTATTTTTATGGCGTTGTGCACTCTTGTTGAAGAAACCATTGGAATAAGAGACGAGGTGGAAAGGGCACTCTTTGAGGGCAATGCAGCGCTAGGTGCCCTCTCCGGGCACTCTGCCATGGTGCCCACATAGAAACTTTTGTTACTCACAACCCAAAAGACGGTCAAACGTGGAGCTGTTGCTGCTGGAGGACACGGTGTGAGTCCTCTGAGCTCCTGGCTGAAAAGCCCCTGCCAGCTGTCCACTCAGCACACAAGCTTGTGTGTGTGTCTGGTAAAAACTCCTTATGTAGTACATGTTATTGACTCTTCACAGGGAGTTAGTGGTAAACAGACTGTACTCATGCCCAAAGAACCTCATCGACCACAAATAGTTTTTTTTTTCTTGTTTGAGGCTGGGGAGATGGTTCGGTGGTTAAGAATGCATACTGCTTTCTAGAAGCCCCGAGTTCGGATCCCAGCATCCACACAGGGTGGCTCACAACCTCCTGTAACTCCAGCTCCAGGGGATCTGATGCCCTCTTCTGGCCTCTGTGGGCTCTGCACTCAACGATGTATACGGATTTTTAAAATAAAATCTTAAAATTTAAGTTAGCATGCACGGCGGTGGCTTCCCATACACGTTACCAGACTTTATTCTTATTTGCCTCCTTCCTCCTCTCCTTTCCCGGTTACCATGACAATTGTTTCATCTTTTTACTTAGGAGCTAGGGTCAGTGTTTCCAAATAAACACTAAGACTACAACAAACCCCCAGAAACCTGAGAATCGTCACTAGGAGAACACGGTGTGAGGTCTGAACTAGAAGTACAAGCATCTCAGCTGCCTGCTCAGCCTCATCCTGGGAATGTGCCTGTCGGGCTGCTCAGAACCATTTATTTATTTAGCTGCTCTAAGTAGGCCCCCAAAGGCAGTTTTGTGGTTTCGGGGCTATGCCTTACTTAGGGTTTCTATTTCTGTCAAGAGACACTGCGACCATGGCAATTCTTATAAGGAAAACATTTAATTGAGGGGGCTCACAGTCTCAGAGGTTCAGTCTCTTATCATGATGGAGGCAGGAGCGTGGCACATGCAGGCAGATGTGGTGCTGGAGCTGAGGGTCCTATATCTTGACTCAGAGGCAGCAGGAAGTCGACTGACTGAAGCTTGAGAAATGACCTCAGATCCCGCCCCCACAGTGATACACTTCCTCCAATGAGACCATACCTATTCCAAAAGGCCACGCCTCCTAATAGTGCCACTCCCTTTGGGGAGCATTTTCTTTCAGACCACCACAGGCTGTAGGTACATTTAGGTTAGTAGCTGTCTGGGTCAGGATAAACTAGTTGCTGCTGACCACGCCCCACAGTGGACCAGTGAGGTCTTAGAATTTGCATTTTGACAAGATTCCTGGTGACATTGATGACCTAGGAACCCCTGGCCCAGAAAGTGAAGCTGTGTGCACCAGAGCAGCCTAAATATAAGAATTAATTCTTATTCCAGACAGATCCTGAGACAGTTACTAGTCTATGACATTTAATGTTCATATCACACATGGATCTGCTGAATATACCAACATACTAATTAAAAATATTATTGCCTCTGTGTGTAGGTCAGAGGACAGCTTTGTAGAGTTAGTTCTTGCCTTCCATCATCAGTAGGTTCTGGGGATTGAACCCAATCCTCATTGCTGGGTAGCAAGCCCTTTTGTCCTCTGAGCCCTCTTGCCAGCCCTCCATGTTTTTTTTTTTTTTTTTTATCATTTGCTTTTTAGGAACTCCTATGTGCGATTAAGGCATTTATGCACCAACACGTGGGTCACGAGCACCAGCATCCCCATAGACACGGAGGAAGAGAGGCCTGTCATGCTGAAGGTAAGTGTGCACGTGCGGAAAGGGGAGGCTGGCTTGTCCATCAGTTGCTGTGCTCACACAACTGAGCGTGACGGACAGCCCAACTTTCTGGGCATTAGGACTGGTTGCGCTGATTTCGTGGGAGTGAACGTCTGTCAGTGGCTTAGGTCTCTAACTTGGGTGGCTGCAGCAGGGCTGTGGCTCAGAAGGGTGGGGTACAGACATCAGCAAGACATGGAGGATTCCAGGGGCATCTTCTCTACTTGGAAGTATTTGAGACAGAGGGACGGTGTGGGAAAGAAACGCTTTTTGGGGGTTCCTCAAGAACAGGGCAGGAAGTGGACATGGAAAGCCGTCTTGCCCCTGAAGCCTTTGGCTGTGGCGGATGTTTTCTGGAGTCTCCCTGTCTCATCCGCACCCACCCAGTGTGCTTTAGTCCTGAGGATACGGTCTCTGGAGACCGTGCAGCTGTTTAATGGAAACACGTATTGCAGATCGGAACCTGCCAGACCAAGGAGGACAAAGAAGCCTTTGCCATCGTGTGTGTCCCGCTGTCTGAGGTCCGAGACCTGGACTTTGCCAACGACGCCAACAAAGTGCTGGCAACCACAGTTAAGAAGCTGGAGAACGGCAGCATCACTCAGAACGAGAGGCGGTGAGTGAAGTTCCTAGGTGATGAGGGGTCAGTAAAAGCCAACTGTTGGCCTGGTTGTTGGGGTGCATATTTGCGACTCCAGCACCCAGGAGACAGAGGCTGGGGGATCAGGAGCTCAGGGTCATCCTCAGCTTCATAGCAAGCTCAAGGCCAGCCTAGGCTACATGAGACCTCATCCCTCAAAACTAATAAAAGTCATCTACACTCCTAAACAGCAGCAACAGCAACAAGAACACATGTGTGCATGCACACACATACATACACACACACTCACACATTGGTCAGTTCTTACAGTAAACCAGGTGATTCTAACAGAGCATTTGGAACATTCCCCATAGCAGCAGCCTGGCTTCTGATGTTGGCACACTGGGGAGTACCTGCCAGCACCTACATGGCATGGCTCATAACTACCTGTACCTCTAGTTTTGAGGGATCTGGCGCCCTCCTCTGGTCTCCGTGAGCACTGCACGCATGTGTGTGTGTGTGTATATATATATATATACAGATACACACATATAAATAAAAATAACAAAAAAACCCTAAAAGTGTCTGCTGGGATACTTACTTATTCCATTTAATCTTGGCTTGGAAGTAGATGATTTCAGTTTCTCTCTGCTCTGTTTTTGAAGCTTTTTAAAGGATTCACAGGGGCCATACTCGCTTTGGTGTTTAGATGTAGAGTTTTACAGTTTCTGAACCCATGACACATATCTCAGCTCTGATACCACAGACCGATCAAACATAATATCATAAAAAGTGAGCTCACTGTGTCACTCACAGAAACTGGGTCCTTGATTATTAACTTATTTATGAATATGTCAGAGAAAGAAAGCTATTGTGGCTAGAAACCACTGTCTCCATTGTGACCTCAGCCCTCAAAGAGCCCGTCAGTAACCGTTCCTGTCTTAACTAAAGGAAGTGGAGGTTAAGCTCCAGCCAGGTAAACTGATGTAAATAGTAAGGGGGGGTAGGGTTCTAGTCATGTGATTTGACTGTCAGATGACCTCAGGACCTCAGAGCAAAGACATGTTTCTTCTTTCTCCTCCTGACCTGCTGCAGACAGAACAAGGAGCCATATGCGAGTCTCTGACTGCGTGCATTGGAGCTCTGGCCTCCAGCCCTTGTGTGAAGAGCCCCTGCCAAACAGCCCAGCCGGGAATGGCAAATAGAGTTGATACTTTTTTGTTGAAATAAGAGCAGCGGCGGGGCTGCGTCCCCAACACCCCGGCCGCTTGGCTAGCTCATGCCCGAAATAACAACATACAAACTGTATTCAGTTAAACACTGCTTGGCCCATGAACTCTAGCCCTTACAGGCTAATTCTCGCACCTGGACTAGCCCATTTCTAATGATGTGTGTAAGCACCCCAAGGTGCGCTTACCGGGAAGATTCTAGCCTCCGTCCATCATGGTGTCTCTGCTCCAGCCCAGAGCTGTCGAGTCTCTCCGGGAGCAGAGCAGAGTCTGACCTCACTTCCTCTTCCGCCCAGAATTCTATTCTGTTTACTCCTCCCATCTATGTTCTAAGCTATGAGGCCAAGCAGTTGGTTTATTATAACTTAACCAATGAAATCAACAGATGACACTCCCACATCACTTTTTACTCCTTGTCGTTTGCTCTTTTGGGAGGCCCGCCACCTAGCTCCCAGATAAATCACACACGGAATCTTAATCCACCCCCATGCTTTCCTTTAGTCACCTCAGGAAGGGACTCTGGGGGTGCAGCTCCTGTGTTGGCTTCAGTCTTAGATGTTTTAATTCGAATTTTCTGTTTGTAGTCTATATAACCACACCAAGGAAACAGTATTAGCAGTACCTGCGTCATGGGGAGGAAGGGGCCATGAGGTGTCAACTGCTACATGGTGCCTGAGAAGGCATTGCACACCCTTCTTACGGTCTCTGTACCATGCTGAACTTCCAAGGGACCTGCTTTGTCCACAGAGGGTCTGCTGTCGCACCTGTGCACAGATGCAGCTAACTCAGTGAGCCAGGTGCTGGTCATGCAGACTGTGTTCTGGGTAGCTGCAAAGGTGAAGGCCATTGTGCCGACTTCTTCACACAGCTAGGCCTGGGAACATGGCTCAGTGGTGCAGTGTTTGTCCAGCCAGCCCGAGGCCGTTCTGCACTTGCTTCCAAACCCAGCATCTTACATGTCTTCATGCAACAAACAGAGCTGCACAGAGGTTCTTATCAATGCTTCATATGAACTATGGTGCACCCTCCTTCTTTCCTTTCCTCCTCCTCTCCCTTCTTCCCTTTCTTCCTCCCTGCCCGCCTTCTCTTCCTCTTTAACTCCTTCCTTCCCTCCCTCCTCCTTCTTTCTGTCCGATATTCTCTCCATTCCTCCCCCCCTTTCCTTGTGTGAGACCAGGTCTCGTATAGCTCAGGGTGTCTCTGGACTCCCTATGTAGCCTTGAACTCGTTAGCTTCTCTCTTATAATCTGCGCTGTGTGCTATTGTCTGTATCCTTTTGATACTGTCTTATAATTGCTATTTTTTCTTATAACCTGAACTTTTTATTTCTCAGATATCTGCTGGTTCTTTGCCTACCTACCCATCTACTCTTCATTTGTGTCTACTATTTTATTTTAAATTGTATATTATAATTATATATACATATATATTAAATTGTGGCAAGTCATTTCTCTGTCTGCTGAGGACTGGTGACACACTCATTTAAATGTCACTTAGGAATGGCGTTGTCACTTGGATCTCATTAACGATGAATCAGCCTTCTGATTTTTAGCATGATGGCTGTCTTTCCTAATGTTACTTTTCTGTGTGTTTTGGAATTTAATTATGAGGGCTTTCCGTGGGTGGAACATTACCCTTTCTCTCTGTGCTCATTCATTTCCTACCTGCTGGCATGGCCTCCCCCCGACACCTCTCCACCAGTCCACACTGAGGGATGCTGTTGAGGGCAAGAAGTCATACTCTATGATGAGGTGAGGCTTTGTGAGTCCTTGTGACCACAGGTGGGACAGCCCCATCTCTGTGCTTCCTGTTTTCCTGCAGCCCACAAGGGTTTTGGATTCTTGAGTCTTTCTGCAAGGGGGACCCTTCTGAAAGAATGTCTTTGCAGCTACAGTTTGGCTCCTCCCACATCCTTCCAACACTGCTACATTGTCCTTACTCTTTGTTGAGTTAGTCTTACTTTATTCTTGACCCATGTGGCCTTTTATATTTTCAGATGTGTGTCCTTTAAAATACATAATCTGTATCTTACCTAATTTTGCTAAATCTGACAGGAAGTCTGTTGCCTAGCTTTTCTCAGGGACATGTGAGCAGACAGCTATGCACCTCAGATAGGGAACCTATGTCAGACCAAGTGATGTTGCCAGCCGTGTCTCACAGGAGAGCTAATAATTGGAATATGGGTGAGGGGTGACTTACAGGAGCGTGGCTGACTCAAGAGGCAGCTACATCACTGAGAGCTACCCCAGCAGGGATAATGACTCATGGCCGCTGCGCAGGGAGCTCCCTGTAGGCAGATCCACGCCCCCTCTCCACCAGAGTCTCTCCCCCCAGCACCCCTTCAGTACTAGAGTCCTGGCAGCAATCTTGTGGGTCTTGCAGGTTTGAGCTTCCCAGACATTTGAGGGTTTGTTTACTTTCTGAGTCTCATGAGCCCCACCCTCCGTCTAGAGTAGAAGGTTTGAATCTGGAGGAATTACTTTAAACTAAGTCACAGAGAAAATCACTTATTAAGAGAAAATTAGTAAGATTCTATGAGTTATAGGGCAATAACCAGCCAGTATAGAATTGAACAGAAGTTTGAGTTTAGCTGACAGCCATCAGCAGGTAATTTTGTTGTTTTTTTCTTGGCATATGAGTAAACAAGTTAACATTAGTTTTTCTTATTTTATTATGTATACAGATATATACATAAACACACACATATACATACATGTGTATATATCTACACACACACACACACACACACACACACACACACACACACACACACACAGAGCTGTTTAGTCCAAGGAGGCCAGAAGAGGGCATCAGATCCCCTGGATGGTTGTGAGATGCCATGTGGGTGCTGGGAACTGAACGTAGGTCTTTTGGGAGAACAGCCAATGCTTTTAACCACTGAGCCACCTCTCCAGCCCAAGAACATTGTCTTGATGGAGAAGAAGCCTGGTGTCTTTGGCTATCAGCCTCATCCTCACCAGGGGCACCTTATACATTTGGGCGCTATATGGTGATGCTCCATCAAAAACTAAGACATAAAAGATACTCACAGCAGATGTCCCCTCTTCTGGTGTTTACAACCTTCCCATCTCCTCTTCCATGGCGTTGTGAGACTTAGATGCAGGGATGCACACAGACATTAATTAGACACCGGCCTGAGTCTCTGTATGTCCACCTGTTGTGTATCTCTGTAATAGTCTCCACCTGTTGCAAAAAGAAACTTCTTTGAGTGCACAAAAGCCTCAGAGAACCACACTGTCATATTTCATGAACTCCAAGGGACAAAAATTCTCATTTTGAGGCTCATGACCCAATTGTTCTTGAGACTTACAGGATTTTGTTTAATAACCATTTATAATATTTGATTAGTGTTGGAATTGGAGTCGTGGGAGGAAATACTGTCAAAATTAAGCAGCAATTGCATTAGTTATTATATTTTGTTAATGAAATATGTTTTCTTAAAAATAGTTTAACTCTCTTCATGTATCAGTTCTCAGACTTAATTTTTAATAGTCCCAAATTGTCATAATCTTTGCTTTGCGATAGGTTTGTCACGAAGCTGTTGGAAGACCTCATCTTCTTTGTGGCTGACGTGACTAACAATGGACAGGACGTTCTGGATGTGGTCATCACCAAGCCAAACCGGGAACGGCAGAAACTCATGAGGGAACAGAACATCCTGGCACAGGTGAGTTGCTTCATGAACCAGGTCTGCACATTTTATGTTCTGAACTACAGTATCAGTCATGCCCTGCTGCGTAACAAATGACACCTCGACAATCATTTTAGTTTTTGTGAGTTTTAAATGTAAGAGTGGGGTCTGTGGGGTGTTTTTGCTCAGGAGCTTTCTCAGAGGAATGATCAAATCTTAGGTAGGGCCACTGTCATCTCAAGAGTGGACTGGGAGGGGATCCACTTTCTAGATGGCTCATAGAGTTTGTTACACGTCTGCCTCAAGACAGAGCATTTCCTCCAGTGATGGTCAGTGTTAGCTTCTGGTGATGGTTAGTGTTAGCTCCCAGTGATGGTCAGTGTTAGCTTCTGGTGATGGTTAGTGTTAGCTTCCAGTGATGGTCAGTGTTAGCTTCTGGTGATGGTCAGTGTTAGCTTCTGGTGATGGTTAGTGTTAGCTCCCAGTGATGGTCAGTGTTAGCTTCTGGTGATGGTTAGTGTTAGCTTC